CGATTCCTGACGATTTCCCTGCTCTTGTCTGCTTCCAGTCCGCTTTCAGCTCCTATGCATACAAAGGTAAACCTTACCAACGCTGCTCCACTTGCCTTTGAACCTTTGTCAGGCTACCTTCACACCAACGATCTCGAGATGTGGTCCAAGGAAGACATACGTGACTGCACAAGAGCTCCTTGAGCAAGTGCTGACAAGAAATTGCAGGTCGCAAGAGCCATCTTGAGCCATACACTCTCGTTCAGATCGGTTTCTTCCACTCCCCTTCCCTGCCCCTCGTGCTGATGCCTTTGAATAGGCTCGCGCGAAGCTCACAAACTACATGAGACTGACGTGACCAACAAGAAGAAAGACAAGCTGCTTTCAAGGTTCTCCGCTCACTGATCTTCTTGACATCTTGCTCATTCCTTCACTCTTCTTGACATCTTGCTCATTGCTTCACTCTTCTTGACATCTTGCTCGTTGCCCCTGTACAGGTCGGGGTCGCTCTCTCGTTCTCGCTCCAGGAGCAAGTCCAAGTCTCCCAGCGCCGTCGTAGCTAGCACCAAGGAGAAGCTCAGAGCATACCTCACGGATCCTTCCAGGTACCTTGCATAACCTTCCTCCCGTCCTCTTCATCCCGTCTCTTCCTCCCATCTTCTTCCTCCAGTTCTCGCGCACCTCCCGCTCTGAGCGTCTTCGGCTCCTTGCAGGACGTCTTGGGATTACCTGAGGATTCTCCGCTTTTCATGTGCGCACCCCCTGCCATGCCGGCTGACGCCTGACGAGACTGGCAGTTCCTGGCATGACGCTCGCTAAGGAGGAGAAGGCTCCTCCTGGGATGTGGACGGCCAACTCGCGACCCCTCTCGCTCCTCCCAGAGAAGCGTCATGAAAGACGTCTCAAGGTATGATGGGAGGTGGAAGAGGAGCGGGAGCGGGAGGAAAGGCGGCTGGGAAGGGGTTGAAGAGAACCAGAGGAGAGGAGAGGAGAGAAGCGAGGCAGAAGGTGAGACGTGTACATGCAGAGACGTGCCAAGGTTGCAGCACTGAAGGAGTTGAATGCCAAGCAACGCAAGGCAGACACCCCCGAGCAAAAAGCAAGAGACGCATTGATCGCCAAACTTCAGAGGAAGCTTCACAGGAGGAAGTAGACTGATGCCCGTGGAGACAAGACGTAGCACTTTAATGCTTTAGCTCGTTTATATTTCGTTAGAAAGACAGGGAATGTCAAATGCTCGAATGTCCTCTTCCTAATTCACCTCACAGACCACTGGCAGAGAGTCAGACCTCTTGATCCACATACGCATACAAGAAACCTTGGAAAATTCGAAACGTCCGCGCTTTCTCGGAGCTTTTCTCCATTTTGTACATACCTGCATGCCATCGTGAGCGGAGAAAAAGAGTCTCACAAAGATGAAGGGAGAGTATGGGGTAGAAGGGGAGAGCGGAGCAGGAGCGAACAAGAGGCAAGGCTGGAACGTGACAGGAGGGAAGGGGAGAACAGCGAAGGAAACATGGGCGATGTAAGGCAACGTGACTCACTGAATCACAAGGCGCATCTTCAGTGGCTTTGACCCTCTTTGACCATTGGTCACGTTCATGGTTTGCGTGATGGCCCCTCCGTTGCCCCTCAAGATTGTGCTCGACGGCGGACCCATGGTAATCTGCGTCGCTCCTCAGAGTAGCCAAGAGACGAGGAGGGGTACAGACCTGCAAGTGTTTGGGGACAGCGACCTTGCACGCGAACTCAGTCATGTCGTGGGGGAGGGAGTTCCTGAAGGTTGCCATGATGATCGTGGTGAAAGAGTCTGGGTCCAGCAAGTCAGTTGAGAAGAGATGAGGTACGAAGAAGAGAGGTGAAGAAGTGGAGATTGAAGAACGAGTGCGCTGGAGATTCTTGTGCGTACCTGGATCCGATTTCTCGAAGTCGAACAACACCTTCACAAGTGATCAACGTAGGAATGAACGACAACACAATTTCAACCTTGATTCCATTCTTATCCAGAGCAGTCAGAGTGGGATAAGTAGTCTGTTCGACAACACCGACATTAGTTGCAAGTGCCCACTATACTCGACAATGGAGCGAACCTTGGAATCGAAGTTGTCAAAATCCTCATCCCACCCGTCTTCATCCCCCCAGCCATCGCTGCCTTGTTTTCCAGCAACCTCTGCCACCTTTGAAGCATTTTCAATCTCCAACTGATCTCTACAACAGCATCAACGTACAGAGTTCGAAACCTTGGCAAACGATTTGAACTCCTCATTGAGCACCCCCTGCCCGGATTCGAGGTCCCCTTCCCCCATCTCGATAGAGTAGTAGCTCCCCTGTGAACCACCAGGACGCCAGCACAGCACGAGTCAGACCCACCGAAAGTTTCCTCTCGACTGTACCTTGCTGGACCCGCTCAGCCTTCTCCTTACAACCTGTGGGAGAGGCTGGTCAAACGATTGGATGGTGAGCAACAGACTTACAAAGGCCCCTACTGCTAGGATGATGACAGCGACGCCAGAGATCCCAACTATCATTCCAGTCCCATTGCCAGCGATTGCTGCCAACGAGAACCAGCCTCCATTGATCTTCTTCCTAATGACAGTCGCATCTTCGTCATCTTCATCACGTTTGGAGCTTTTCGAGCTGCCATCTCTTCCTGATGAAGACTTGGAGTTTGTACGGTCTGAGCTGGAGGATTGTGAGCTCTTGCCCATTTCATCGCGCGAACCTTCACTCGACTTTCTGCTTCCCTCAACGTTTTGTTCCGACTTACTGCTTGATTCGCTTTGCCCTTGTGAAACAACACTGCTCTTGTCGTTCTGCGATTGGGTGCTTGAGCCTGAAGCACTTTTCTCCTGCTTACGATCTCCTCCCCACTGTTCGCTATCATCATTTTTCTTATCCGCGCTCGACTTTGTGCTGGAATCTTTTGCAGCCATCGCTTGATCATTTGAAGCTTTCGGTCCTCCCTCGGATTTCTCACTTATATCGTTACTTGGCTTCGAATCTTTGCTTGACATTGAGTCCTTACTTTGGGCTGTCTGGTCTTTTCCTTCACTGCTTTTGCCTTGCACGTCAGTGTTTGCAGCTTGCTTATCAGATTTGCCATCAGTTGTGCCAACTTTCTCTGTCTTGCCCTCATCCTTACCCGCCTTCGATTCTGTTCCGTCCTTGGTCGATTCTGCACTATCAGTGCTCTTTTTGGTGCCAGATTCGTCCTTACTACCTCCAGAGCCAAGCCATCCAAACCAGCCTCCAGAGGAGCCAGTTTTTGAGCTGTCTTTGGATTCTTGCTTGTCCGATTTCGACACAGAATCGCTATTGCTCTTGTCTCCGCTTCCGAGTTGCGTTTTCTTCTCATCCGGTCCCTTGGCATTCGATTTTTCTGCGGAGCTCTGATTCTTCTGCTGATCAGCCTTGATATCCTTTTCGGCAGATTTCCCTTTCGATGCATCGTCTTCGCCTGATCAAGGAAAAACAAAGCAACATCGTCAAAATCTTTGTCTATCAAATATAAGGCGATGCAAACAAACAAGAGAAATCCAATCTCTATCGCTCCCTTCAACACTATAGGCAAATTCAAGATGATTACCTTTCTTGGAGTCTTGATTTACATTTGGATCAATCTTTGTATTGGTTGAAGTTTGATCGCCTTGAGCTTTGGCACTTGCACCCTCCTTATCCTTTGAACCTTCAGACTTCACATCTTGCTGGTTTTGCTGATTGTTCTTTGCATCAGCCGATTCAGAACGATCGGTAGATTGTTTCTTGTCTTGTTCTTGAGCGTCGACCTTTTTTTGCGTGGATTGTTCAACAGATTGCTGAGAATTGTCGCCATTCTTCGAAGTTTCTTGAGAACCTGAGCCGCTTGATTGTTGCTTTTCACTTGTCTGCTGTGCTTGCACGGCCTGCTGCTGGCCATCTGCTTGCTTCTGACTTTCTGCTTGCTTCTGACCTTCTGCTTGCTTCTGACCTTCTGCTTGCTTCTGGCCATCTGCTTGCTTCTGGGCTTCGGGAGCCTGCTGCTGCTGCTGCTGCCCTTGCCCTTGCGCGGCCTGCTGCCCTTGCCCTGTCGTGGCCTGCTGCCCTTGCCCTGGCGCAGCCTGCTGCTGTGGAAGCTGCTGCTGACCCTGCACGACCTGTTGCTGGACTTCTACTTGCTTCTGGCCTTCGGGAGCCTGCTGCTGCACTTGCTGCCCTTGCACGGCCTGCTGCTGTTGCTGTTGCTGCTGCTGCTGCTGCTGCTGCCCTTGCACGGCCTGCTGCTGGCCATCTGCTTGCTTCTGGGCTTCGGGAGCCTGCTGCTGCTGCTGCTGCTGCTGCTGCTGCCCTTGCCCTGCCGTGGCTTGCTGCTGCTGCTGCTGTGGAAGCTGCTGCTGACCCTGCACGACCTGTTGCTGGCCTTCTGCTTGCTTCTGGCCGTCTGCTTGCTTCTGGCCTTCTACTTGCTTCTGGCCTTCGGGAGCCTGCTGTTGTTGCTGCTGCTGCCCTTGCACGGCCTGCTGCTGCTGCTGTTGTTGTTGTTGCTGCTGCTGCCCTTGCACGGCCTGCTGCTGGCCTGCTGCTTGCTGCTGGCCTTCTGCTTGCTTCTGGCCTTCGGGAGCCTGCTGCTGCTGCTGTGGAGCCTGCTGCTGCTGCTGCTGTGGAGCCTGCTGCTGCTGCTGCTGTGGAGCCTGCTGCTGCTGCTGTGGAGCCTGCTGCTGCTGCTGCTGTGGAGCCTGCTGCTGCTGCTGTGGAGCCTGCTGCTGCTGCTGCTGTGGAGCCTGCTGCTGCTGCTGCTGCTGTGGAGCCTGCTGCTGCTGCTGCTGCTGTGGAGCCTGCTGCTGTTGCTGTGGAAGCTGCTGTTGCTGTGGAAGCTGCTGTAGAAGCTGCTGCTGCCCCTGTTGCCCCTGCTGCCCCTGCTGCCCCAGTGGAAGCTGCTGTAGAAGCTGCTGTTGCTGTGGAGGCTGCTGTGGAAGCTGCCCCATTTGGTTCAATTGCTGCTTTTGAGCTGCATTATCTGCTATACAAATCTGTTACATATACCATTCAGATCATGTGGTTCAGACCTGATCCAACATTGCTGGCTTTCGAAGGATCTGGTAAAAAAAAAATAAGTTGAAGCCTCTGAGCTGGAATACAAACATTAAATACCTGCAACACTTGACGGGACAGAGAGCATGTATTCTCCACTGCTCAGGGACCGCTGAGTTGAATGTATGTGCTTCCCTTCCATTGCATAGGGATTTTCGTCATTGGTCTGAACGAAAGGAAATCAGTTACACACCATTGATGAAGGGGATAGAGAATCCAACAAGTCCAAGCAAGAATCACGTAACAGAAAACGTTTACTCACTCCACGAGCTTGGTCACCATTCAGAGAGCTCGCTCGCGACACTCCATCGTTGAGACCCTGAGCTTGCATCCCTCCCTGCGCTTGCACTCCCGTCGCCGTCCCTGCTGCCTGCGGCATGCTTGCCCCTGCGTTGACGTTGCTTGCTGCCTGGGTCTGTACTGCGCTTGCTGCCTGGGTCTGCACTGTGCTTGCCGCCTGGACATTCCCGCTCTGGGAGACTGGCAACGATGAGGAGGATCCTTGACCCTGAGCTTGCATCCCTCCCTGCGCTTGCACTCCCGTCGCCGTCCCTGCTGCCTGCGGCATGCTTGCCCCTGCGTTGACGTTGCTTGCTGCCTGGGTCTGTACTGCGCTTGCTGCCTGGGTCTGCACTGTGCTTGCCGCCTGGACATTCCCGCTCTGGGAGACTGGCAACGATGAGGAGGATCCTTGACCCTGAGCTTGCATCCCTCCCTGCGCTTGCACTCCCGTCGCCGTCCCTGCTGCCTGCGGCATGCTTGCCCCTGCGTTGACATTGCTTGCTGAGGGGTTCTGAGCGTCCACTGCTGCACGATCCACACTCCCCTGCAGGTTCGACGCCGAAGCCCCTGAGGTTCGCAAAGCAGATGGAGAATTCATGTTTGGTGAGAAAGACTGTCCAGAAGCAATTGACATTCTGTTTGGGTTCTCCAATGAAGAGGGTTGAGCCGTGTTGATTGCTGCACCCGTCGACTGAGCGGAATTAGCAGCACCACTTCCTCCCACACAGCTTTGAACAACAAAGTCTTTGGTTTGCCTTGATTGTTGAGTAGCTGAATCTATGTAGCGAACTTCATAGCTGCAGAATCGACGATGAACAACCAAGAAAGAATACATCAGTATCCCAAAAACGGTGTGTGAAAGCATTACCTTCCAGGAGAGAGAAGATTGGATGTAGTGCCCACTCCATGAAACTTTAATGTGCCCTCTCGTTGCCCTGGACTCCCCAATTCTTGTTTTAAGGTGTACGTGTTTGAGCCCTTGGGAAAGATCGCCAAGAAATCATTCTAATGAAACGATTATTCATGACGCCAACATCAAAATCCATCGCGAAATACCTCATGACGACTAGCAGGTGCAATCCAAGACACTGTAATTTGCTGATTTGGACATATAGATGAGGATTCATGCACCGAAAGACCATATCCTTCGGGGACTGTGTCTGAACACAAGGAAACGCATAAGTGGAATTCCCCTCTTCAGAAATTTATCAACCGTGACTTGACTTCTGCGCTTGTTCTCCGGAAACAGTGTTCCCAGAGCTTGCTTGTTCTTGTGCTACATGACCTGAGCCTGGAGATGCTTGTTGAGAATTGTGAGATTCCCCATTCGTGCCATCTAGTCACTAGTCAGAATCGAGCAATCGATGCATCGGAAAACGAGACCTGCAGAGGGTTGTACATTGCTCGGTGATTTGCTGGAGTCAAATGCAGCCCTTATTTTCTCTTTCAAATGGTCGTCATCCTGCAAGTTCCGATTATTGTTTGTGCCGGATGCCTCGCTACCATCTGCGTGCTCTCCATCGCCTTCGTCTTGGTTCTCGGACTGATCCAAGGAATCCGCGATTGCATGATTCGACAAGACAACGAGGGCAATCAAAAGACAAAGTGAAAGAAATCTCCACCCTCGAGTTTTGACCATCTCAATTCGAAACCAATCACAGCAGATCAATCAGATTAAGTTGCCTCGAACCCTTCACCTGCACAAGATGCTACATCAGATCGAACAAAAAGTTCATGAAAACTAGTAAAAATTGGCAAAACAAAGACTTCAAGCCTTCAATGGTAGATTCAGGGCAGGAAGTTTGCAAGGGAACCAGGCAACATAAGGCAACATCCTGATTTTCACTTTATGAAGGAATGCCCACCAAGAATCCAACATTGACATGAAGACTAGGTGAGTGCAGCACGACAGAGTTGGATTCCAACATATGATAGCAACGAAGTAAACATCGCTAAGAAAATCCGACTGAAAGGTAGACAAAGATAGCAATAAACACGAGATTAGGGTCTAAATAGGCAAAAACACGGCGATAGACAACGAGTGGGAAGACAAGAAACCGATATCTAGGAAGAGAAGATCACAGGATAACGAGGAGAGAACATTGTTCCTTGCTCTTTCCCTCAACTCTTCTTGACTTATCTCCACTCCCTGCCCATGAAACTCGACGCTCATGCATGAATGTTTTACCTTGCTAGCATGCGCGCGCTTTTGCAAAGAGTACTTGTGTGCCGCAGAGCGGTGCCCTTTGCCAAGAAACTTCACCGAGGAGCATCTATTTGACTTTATTTTCATATAGTATACAAGATAACTAATATATTAGTATTTCAAAATCAAATAAAATAAAGTCAATTCAAAATATTTTGAATAATGGAAACCCCACATCGAACTTTCGAATGCGCTGACAAATCAGGAGGATTTGTTTGATGGGTAGGGTAGTATTCATTTCGGGGTGGGTACATGGATCACGGGTATTTTTCTGTGAATCAGGGGGGTATTCAACCAAAAATTTCTCTCAGACTACCGGTGTTCATTTTCATACCACCTACCCTCACCCCTAACCCCCACCAGCTGCCCTAAAAGTTCATTATTACCCCTGAATTCCACCATGACCACCCCCACCTTTATCATGAATGCCCCGCACCCTCCTCCCCGCTTTCTCTCTTTTGACCCCACCTACTTCTTTCGAAGTCGCTGGATCACCCCCACGTCCTCACGGAATATAAAACCACCCCTATATATCTCAAACTTTTACTACCCCACCATCAATTGTGGTTCGCATCTATCTTTCCCCACCTGTATGACGGTTACATACGGTTCTACGTTATATTTCCGTTGGATGCACTGAGGGGAACTTGGTTTTACATTGCTTGAGTAAAAACTGATGCAAAAGGTGTGCACTGCAGGAGGAAGGAGCGTGGTGGAGAAAGCGAGCGAGGAGGAGGAGGAGGTGAAAGAAGAGAGGAAGATAGGGGGGCGCATGTTTCTAGGAAAGAGCAAATCGGGGTAGGTCGAGGAAGCAGATAGTTGGTTCGGCAACAATGCCTTCGCTGGTTCACGTTAGGATAGCTGCGATCCTTTTGGTCGTCACCACGTTCCTTGTGAAGGTGAGCTCTGATTCTTGCCGATTGGGTTGCAACTTAACTGATTGTCATGGCAAGGTGGTTGATGGCAGGGCCAAGGATCGATTTCCAGAAGGGATGAATATATACTGCAAGACGAAATCATGTTATGATGTTTTGGAGCTGGAGCAAGACTGTACGAGTGCAGACATAAAGAAGGCATATCGCAGGCAAGGAGCAGGATTAGAAATGTTGTAGGATCCTTCCCTGAAACTATTCTGCTAGGCTTTCGCTGCAATTTCACCCTGATAAGAGCGATGAGCCTAATGCTCAGGAAAGATTCATTGAAATCGGCAGTGCGTATGAGGTCATTGTGCACGGGCTGTCGACTTTGTGCTGATTTGAGTTGAACAGGTCCTGAAGAACGAGGATGTGAGAAAAGCTTATGATGATTTCCTGGCTCATCCAGAGCGCCATTTGTGGGAGCATTACAGCAACTACTATCAGGTGTTGATCCCAACTCCACCGAGGCAGGTCGTGACCTTTTGCTAAGGCATACTACGCTCCCAAGTCGGATGTTCGTTTAGTTATTCTGGGGATTTTGTTGTTGCTTTCGATCCTCCAATACAGCATAGCGTATTCGAGGCGAAGCAGACTCATTCAGATGATTCTAAGTCAAAGCAAGACTCAGGTCCAGCAATCTACAGCTGTCAGACCCATTGTGTCTGATATATCTTTAGGCCTTTGTGAAGAATCGAATGCAAGAATTGGGGTCGGGAAGTTTGAATCTGAAGAAACGTCTGAACTTTGATATTGCTGCCATGCTGGTGAGATAACTTGAGTATTTCAGCCAAGGATCATGCCAAGTTCAAAGAGATCGAGAAGAAGGTTCGGCGAGTGTGTTTCAGTTTCGTCACATGACATTGAATTAGGCTGAGATGGAAGTGTTGGAGCGAACGGCAGTGAATGGAATAAAGCTTAGTGAACCAGTCACGTGAGCTAAAGGGCAAGATGCGATCATCGCTGACCTCCTGTTGTTACAGATACTTTGATGTCCTCGTCGTCAGAATCATTGTTCTTCCTTTGGATATTGTCGTTCATCGTTTGATGTTCTCTGTAGCTTCTTATGATACATTGCAGCTTCATTCTCTATGGTTCAATATCCGCTGGATTCTCATGTTCAGAATTCTGGGCAAAGAGGTTCTTTCACAGTTGAGGGTTTGAGTTCGAACTTACAATCTACACAAACTTGTGCAGTATGGAGCTCAAGAACACGAATACATCACTCGACAGATTCTTAGAATGCGAGAGGATGTGTGGGTGAGCTTGCCGGATGAAGAAAGACAGGAGGTCGCCAGTTGCGTCATTATGATCAAGTTCTCACTCTGAATCAATTGCAGTTCCTTGAGTTGCAACTCTGGAATCAAGAGAAGCTCGAGGAATGGCAACAGCAGCAGATGGAGGCGGACGAGGAGAAGCGCCGTGAGTTCATGCAGGTAGGACTCATGGACAACGATCCTACGCTCGTTGAAACTCCCCGCTGCCGCGCACTCATCTTGCTTGAGCAGTCAAATCGATACAAGAGAGTCAAGCGGTTCATGAAGAAGCAATAAATTCTCGATGACCTTCACCAGTCGATGAGACACTGTTCGGGGTCACGAGTCGGAGCCAAGTGGCCCCCGAGTCCCTGACCGAAGCCTGCCGGGAAGCCTGCCGGCCGGTCCGATCACGGTAGTCAGAGTCCGAGCGCCCCAGCCGGGGCCCGACGCCGATCGTCACACTCGTGACTGGCGCCGCCGGGGGGCAAGTTTTCGCGGCCCGGCCGGGCGGCCCCGGCGGCCCGCGCCTCCGAGCCTCCCGAGTCCGAGCCTCCCGAGCCCGAGGCTCCCCGGCGGAGTCCGGTCAGACTGAGGCGGCACCCCGTCGCCGTCCGGGCCGACTCGGAGCCGCCTGCGGAGCTAACTTCTCGCCGGACCCGGCCCCGTACACCAGTAGTAACTTAAGTTAGAAGTTCATTAAATTTAACTGAAATGTTGCTTATTTAGACCCAAGGCAGCTAAAAGGGATCAGTTAAAGAGATGAGCTCTTTCAGTGATGCAGACTAGCCGCCCTGCCGTTGCTCCTTTCCCCTCCCCTCCCCTCTCGTTCTCCCCTCCTGCTCCCTTCTTCTGACCTTGTAGCCCTCCTTTCCTCTCAGGCTACTTGCTTCTCTTCTCTTCTCATCTCATCTCTTCTTATCTCCTTTTCTCCCTCTCCCTCCCCTCTCCTCCTTCCCCTGGGCAGACAGGTTGTTTCATTTCCTCCGTCTCCAAAACTTCCTTTCTCCACCTCTCTCTACAAACCATCTCCCCTCATTTCGTAGCCCTGAGTTGATTGAGGTCATTGCAAGCATTCAAGCTACGAATCGCCACTGAGCGAGTCAGAGACGACGCTGTAACAGGAAGCTCGGCGCAGCTTCTTGTAGTTCGATGGGGGCATAGAATGAGCGTGTACGATTACAATGATTCGTTTCCTTCCAGGGAGATTGAGTAGAAGCACAGATCTATCAAGGATGCGACTAGATGCTTGATCAGTGGGAGACATGAACATCAATCAGACGTGTCTCTTGACGCTGGCTTTGATCGTCTCCTTATGGTTTCCTACGGCCTGTGAGGTTGAAGCAGGATGGAGGCCTCGTGACGAACAAGCAAGCGACCAGGGGGAAGTACCATGTCTCGACAGCAGCAAGTGCACGGAGGATCTTGCGTCATATGATAATAGAAAACAAGTCAACGTGGGTGAGACAAGAGAGGCGTTTTCAGGTTCGAGCAAGATACAGAAATATTTGCATAGATTTCTTGCTAAGTCAAGATCAAGAAGACGACAAGCGTTCTTGATATCCAAATATGCAGCCTTCTTACATGACATGGAAACAATTGCAATCCAATCCCGCCATTCATACATTCAGTTGATTGAGATGTCGACCAATCAATCTCTCAACAAGATCTCTTTCTGCAAATCTGTGAATGATGTAGTGAATCAACAAATCATCAGGAAAAGTGAGAACATCTCGATCTCCAATCACAATCTGCGAACATGGGAGCGAATCCTGGCGCATTACACGGGTGGCAACCAGCAGTCTACCTTTTCAGATGCTCACAGGCAAAGGGCTCTCAAAGAAGTAAACATTCTGAGAGCGAAGATTAAATCAGAAAACAAGATGATAGAGCTTCTGCAGGTAATGATTTGCATCTAGTGATTTGCATCTGATGGTCTGACCTTTGTGTTAGGAGCGAGAACAGGTTCAAAGATCCCAATGCGACCTTCTAGAATGGGAAGAACTCTCAGAGGATAGACCGCAAACCAGCGACCCACGATCCTTAACGAGATTGTTGTCGTTGATTTCAAATTTAACACAAGACGTGGAATTGATGCAGCAGGACGACATGTTCTTGAAGGCCTTGAATGCGATAGACTGGCGATATTCACTGGAAGATTTCATGCTTGTTGCAAGGCAGGCTTCTCCTACAAAAGTATTGGAGGCAGTGGTTGAGGAGAAGGTGTTAAAAGGCGTCTCTCAGCTCTTGGAGAGGATTCGAGTTACCTTCTTGCCGCGGTTGCGACGGTTTGAAATAGAACTGAGGGCCGGGAACTCGGAGAAGTACAACAGGCTCAAGAAACTGGAACAAAGATGCAGGAATTTGCGCAACGAGAGCAACGAATACACAGCAAGTTTCATGCAAGACAGCAAGCAAATGGTAGCGCTGATAGCTGAGCATGAAAGACAGAACTCAGCAGTAATGAGCCACGAGGCTTCCCGTTCCCTGTTCTTGGAAGCTGAGAAGGATGCAAGGTTGCATGCAGATCGATTGCGAAACAACAAGCTCGAGGCTGACTTGTCAGGATCTGAAAGCGAGTATTGCCATGCTGCAATCATTGCAATGGAAGATCAGGCCAGGAAATCTGCGAAGCATGCAGAGGCGCACGAGAAGGCAATGAAGGCGCCGATGGAAGAGGCAAAGAGAGTGAAAGGTAGGATAGGCCAACTCAGGGATGAGATGGTGAGGAAGAACAGAGAGCTGAAAGACAAGTCATCAACCCTCAACATGTGCATGATGAATTTCAATCGGTTGAGACGAGAAGCAGCGCTTCTTGCCAGGCATCTTGGGACAGTCGAGCATCTGATCGAAGGGTTGGAGAATCAAGTCGAGTCGCGTGCCAACAGTCTGTTGTAGCTCGGACGAGATTGACCAATGTTAGCGATTGAAAGCTTTGTACAATTTTATGAGAACACTTTGAGCTGAGAAGAAATGAAGAAGACTCAATCAGAATGATACATGCACACCACAAACATTATCATCACTACACATGAACAATACTTGTTGTGTGACGATGCAAGAACTATCCAAGGTCGACATCGACATCACATGTCGACATCACATGGAGGCAGACGTCTTGCTTGTTTCCTCCGCATCATCATCAGTGGTGTACATCTCATGGTAGGACCATTCTGATGGAGTGGGGTAGAGCCACCGCCACTGCTTCGCCTTGCTCTGCCCTGTACTGCCAGTCAGCACGTTCTTGGACGAAGAATTGACGGTCACTCACCGTACGGTACAATCACTTCAGCGATTCCGCAGTTGGGAAACTCGAGCTTTCGGAAATATTCTTCTGACAAACCCAGGGTCGTGCAGAGGAGAGCCTGGGGTGAGGAGAGTGAGGAGGAGAGAAGATATCTGCATTGCGATCTTGACCTGATTGATGCCATTGTGTGCTACGATCAAACTCGTCTTGCCGTTGGCAGCATCTCGCCTCAGGACTTCCCACACCTTCCCGGCTCGTTTCCAGAGATCTCTGATGGGATACTTGCCCGAGTCTAACTTGAACTCTCGTGGGTTCTCACCTCGCCACAGGGAGTAGATATCGGGGTACATCTCCTTGATCTCCTGCTCCAGACATGTTCACCATGCCGACAACTCTCAGCACGAACTCACCTTCTTCAGCATCCCTTCCCACTCATGCAGATCGACTTCGCGCAAGTCGTCCAGAACCATCGCAGAGTCCGAGAGATTTCTTCCTGACCCCGCTGCTGCCAGTTCTAGCGTCATCCGAGCTCTTGTCAACGGGGAGACAAAGACAGAGTCTATGGGGATATCAGACAGGATCCTTCCTACAGAGCTTGCTTGCGCTTCTCCTTCCTCCGTCAACCTAGAGAAATCTGTGGATCCTTGTATCCTCCCTTCAGCATTGTAGTTGGTTTTCCCATGGCGCAGAAACAAGAACCTGTGCCCCGACGCAGACCCCCAATCGTCGTGTGCCGCTCCGCTCATGAGGGTCCTGGAAGCTTGCTGATGCTGTCTCGTGCACGCTCTCCCTTCATGTGCCTTGGATGTCCGCATCTGCGGGGAGAAGGCCGTCGAGCCCTTGTTTGTCCTCGGTTGAAAGAGTTGGTTGGGCCATGCCAAGAAAGCAAACTTGTTATCGTTGGAAAGTTTGGAATTACCTAAGTCTGAGTTCACAGCTTCGGTGCATGTTTGATGGCTCTGCGGACTGGAACTGGCAGGATGTGCCGATGACAGGAACATAACGAACGAATGAAGACAAAGAGAATAACGTGCGACGCTTCTTCTGCGCAGGCTGAGATGCTGATTCAGTAGCTTTGTGTTGACGCAAGTGCACATGGATCTAACACTGTTCCACCACAAACATGAGGAGCAAGAAACCAATCTCAATACAACGCCTGTTTACAAATGTCAAAAAAAAATGACGCGAAGCACAAGGAACGCCGACAAACACTTGAAAGGTCTTGTCACAATCTACAATTCATAGTATGCGACTTCTCCTCATATTGGCTTCTTAAACAAGATTGGTTTTGATGTGAGAGTTGAAAGGTGGCAGCTGTTCAGATCTGCCTCTTCAATCTCCCTGTCTCCCTGTCTCCCTGTCTCCTTCTCACCCACCTGTGCCATTCCTATCCTTCTTGTGAAGTTCCTGCTGTCCATGCTCACAGGCACAATGTTGAACCTGCATCCTAGTCTACATGCCTGAATGTATGCACATCTTGTCCTCTCACAAGGTTCCTTCGTTTCCTCACATGCTCATATATCTCTACACCTCCCTCCCCTCCTGAACCATTTCCTCTTCGCCTCTTGTCCATGTGACATCGTCCATTTCTTCAAGAGGTGGTGTACGGGTAGGTAGCCTAGCATTATTATTGCTCATGGGGGGTAGGGTAGTAAGTCGATATTTCTACTCACCAGGGGTAGTATGCGAAATGTTGTACCCCTTATTTTGTCATAAAAATGTATGAAAACGTCACATTTATGTGGGGTGGGTCATCGGATTTTTGGTCAGGTGGTGGGTGGTCCGACGGGTGGTACCCATTGCCAAATGGGTGACTTTTATTAGGCCGAAACGTGTTTAGATACAGGGGTAGGGTAGTGCACAACCCATCTTGCTAGGAAGAAAGGGTCATAAAACTTCATAGTGTGGGGTGGGGTGATGGAATTGGAAGGGGTAGTGACGTCTGACTAGAAGACACCCACCTTTGTACCTACAAAAATCTCACGATTGGAGGGGTAGGGTCTCTTATAACCAACTTCTTTGTGCCAACTTGACATCCTCGAGTAATTGATAGTGATAGTGGCCGGGCCTGCTGCCCGGTTAGCCCCGGACGGTTACATGCCGTTATCGGTGTCTATTTTCGGAATTGCAATTGCCAATGGAGGCTCCTACTTTCATGCCATGAAAGAGAGCGAGCCAGGAATGCGAGGAGGAGGAGGAGGAGGAGGAGGAGGAGGAGGAGGAGGCTGTGCATCAGGAGTGAAATCTCATTGTCATGCCGTCTTTGCTCCTTCGCCTCATCCATTCGCACCGACGATTGTCGGATATGGAAGTGTTCATGCAGTCGAACCTACTAAAATTGAGCATACGCAAAGCTCGAATACCAGGGACACGGGAAGGGGCCATGGAACAGGGCAAAATGTTTTTCCTTTGGGGATCAAGAGCAAAGAGATGCGGGCCACTGTCGTGCTATTGGGAATGTGTCTAACTCTGCCTGTCCTTATGATAGGTCGTTCAGCCGGGAAGGAGATATTATCGATAAACTGGAAAGGGCTATTACCGCCCCATCGATGGAGTTGGACCCAGTGGATTGCAGGGAAGCAACATGAAGTAGTTGTTCCATCAGTCGCGAATCGCATGAAGATGGTGGCGGGAGGGACAACGTTGCAAGCCAAGGCGAAGAAGTCGGTCAAAGGTGGAGTTCTGCATTCTTCATCGAACAAATTATCTGCTGTTGAAAGCACGGAATCTCAAAGTGGGAAAGCAACATCTGACAGTCTTCAAGATGATGCTTTGAAGAGTGGCCAGGGGCGTCACTCGATATGGGCGTTCGGCCCCTTCGTCTTTTCAGTTGGGATTGTCCTCTCTATCTTGATCAAGTTGGTATGTTCCCTCCCGTTGTCCAAGTTTGCCTCTGAGATGTTGTTTGAACTGGCAAATGTTCCAGAAGAGGTGAGAGCTTAAGCCTTGATGTTTCTTGTGCTGCAAGTTTGTGTTGACTTGCAACGTGCAGAATGTCGACCTCGAGAGGGCGGCCCTTTTGAATGAGGACGAGGGGAGAGGAAGAACCACAGACAGGACGTCTCGGTCCTCCCTTTCATCTGCCAAACAAATCGACCCGAAGGCAGACAGTGCTCGAGACAGCTTCACTCCATCTGTTGCTTCCAGTGGTGGCCTGTCCACGGGGAATGAATCCTGGTCAAAGAAGGATGGCAAGAAATGGCCGTGTAAGCTGGATCTTCCTGCATGATGCTCGGGATCTGTATATTTTTATTGATTCGGCGCGGTTGAACTGTGGGAGAACTAGATATCAACTGGATCATCATTTTTTATCAACCTTGCGGAGATGTCTTCATCAGAACTTCCTTACTATCATCACGATTTGTGTTTGCTTATTCTAGTCGGTATGCAACGCAACGTTCAAACCCTTTCATCATGTAAATTCGTTTCTAAAAGCGCATTTAAAACCAAATTCTCGAAATTCTTCCTTCATTCAAGCTAGACTGAAATAAGTAATCTAAATCTACAAACGTTCTGCACTCATCAACAAGATGTTCTCAAACATCGTGTGAGATCTATCGTAACGCAGACGTATCAGCTTCAAACATCTCCTTCCAAGAGAAGTCCTCCCGTAGACAGCTGTCAAGGTACACAGGGCTGCAGCTGAACGGAAGACGCGTCATCTTTACGTCGGCACTCACTTTAGGAAGCGCACATCCTTTGTTTTGCTTATACGGAGTATCGTTCTTGAACAGGGATATGTCAGGGCAAAGCTCCAGGTTGGATTCCCATTTAGGATCCACTTGCTTCCTGACCACCTTCGGTCGAAGTACCTGAGATGGTTTGTGGTCATCGATAGCAGTGAGCCCTGAAAAATGGTTTTCTCCAGCCAAGCCAGTTGATGAGATGCCTATGTTTCCTTTCAAAGTGTTGGCCTGTTGTTCTTTAACAGATCGCTCATGCTTGCTGATTCGCTTCATTTCTCTCGCCACTTCTTTTTCGATGTTTTTCTTGTCTGCTTCTCTTGCCACTTGTTCTATCATCTTCTTCTGCAATATTGCTGTGCTATTCCAGGATGGCCGCGACAGAGAGCTTTGGCTTTGTGGCGCCGACACCTGATCCTCCACGTCCTTCTCCCTTCCATGCGACGAATCCCTCATATAACACTGTTGCTCCACGTGATTGTCTTGACCTAGAGACATTTGTTTGAAATAGTCCGCATCAAGATCGACTGTAGATGTAGTTTCTGGTCGCTCAAGCACACACAATGAGCCTTGTTGACGAGACTGGTCGCTGTTCGCACTCAGGGAGGTAGGCGGTTGAGGAAGGGGTGGAAGGGAAGGAGAAGGAGGTCCAGATGAATCAGAAGGGGAGAGAGAGGGCGATGAAAAAGGAGACATCGATTCATTCCCTCCATTCATCTTCTTTCCTCCCTCCCTCCTCCCTCCCTCCTCCCTCCCTCCTCTCCATCCGCTCGTTGGGATCGGCTCGAACTCCATAATAACCAAAAGCGCGGGAAAGGTACCACCCCCACCCTCCTCATCCTCTCCACGACTACCCCACCCTCTTGTGCTGACCCCTACCATGATTTTCCCAAAGTACCCTTTCAAAACCCCCACCCTATAGTGGATTCGTCAACAAAGATCTCCTACCCCCACCCCCTTCAGAACTACCCACCCCACTGCAATAATTATTGTTTGCCCGACCTCCGTCAACCCAAACATTGCACACCATGGGTAGGGTGGTAGATTCATGTCCGGGGGTAGGGATATACTTTGATTAAGGGTGGGGTCATGAAAGTACCCCCTCTAGTACCACGAAATAAATTTGAAATAGTGGGGTTTATTCCAGTTTTTGGGGGTAGTGAGTAGATCCAGGGGTGGTTGAACTTGCAAACCGCTACAGTAGATGGGTAGGGTAGCGGCATTGAGTGAAAGTTTTGGCGGCGGCGGCTCGTGATGGCGAGAAGAGCAGGCGGATAAGATGCAGGGAGCGAAATGGAGCCGCGGAGAAGAATCATGAAAGAAGGAAAGTTGGATATGATAGTTGTGGTGCTGTTGATGAAAGTCAGGGAGGGATGTATTAACAAGGTTGGATAAGGATGCCAGTTGGTTGAAGTGGTAACTTTGAAGTTTTCAAGCTTGTCAGCAGCAGCAATGGGAGAGGAAGGAGCCAGAGATTGTCAGGAAAAGTGACAGCGTACTCTGTAGATGTGTTGTAATATTCTTGGAATGTAATGATCGTAGATACTTCGAATTGCGTGAATGACCGATAGGGAAGATTTCATGGAATTGCCGTATCTCAAAGTGGGCATGTGGCGTTGATCACTTAGAAATGACATGCTTTCATACTATATGCGATTTTGCAGATGGTAGAGTGATTTCAGATACATATGCATTCTCATGTGCACGAAGGGCAAGCGTGAACATGTTGAATATTAGCTCATCGTGATACAAGATTCTGTCGGTGGGAAAATTGTATCTAAGCACATATTCCAGTTTATTCCTCGTAGTGATTCCTGTTCGATGCGGCATTTCTGAAATGCATGGTTGATTATCTGCTGGATTGTCTGATTTTCGTTCAGCTGGGAATGCAGGGATCTGACCACCTCATAATGTCCGAGAGATGAAGCGCGTCGAAGGTACATTTGTTGATCTGCTTGTGGCCGTAATGGCTTCAATCTGACTTCATTCTCCTTTTCCTTCTGTGAATTACTTACAGGGAGGTATTGAAAGACTTGTTGGACCTGTCAGTCAAGTTGCAAAGGATCTGCTGTGGCGTTCTTTTGCTGAGCGATCTCCTCGGATCCACTTGCCAGTTCTTTGCCTCCCGAAATTGCAAGGAGTAGATAGCGGGGCGCTGATTGTGCCTGCATCTGTCTCTGTTTCTGTTTGAATGCAAAGAGCATCTCGTGCTCAAGTCACTGACAAAGATAAGTGGAACAAGCCGGTTGGTGAACCAGCGAAGAAGCGTCTTCGGACGTTGACAAACGAGCAAGAGCCTTTGAACAGCTCAGTGAGCAGCTCAGAGAAGATGGAGACGGATAAAGATGGCATCAGTGCTTCCGGTCGAAACCTTCCGTCCACTAGGCCTCAGATTGGTGAGAACAGGGCTCATCCTAAGAAAATGATTATTTCCCTCAAGAAAGGTTTGTGTTGCGACGTGCAAGCTGTGTTCTCTGGTTGACCAATCCACCGCAGAAAAACCCAAGTTGCCAGAAACCTTTGAAGAGGATACTTGGAAGAAGCTTAAGATGTCTGTGCACGCAGTCCATCGTGAGCAACCTGTCGAGCAAAGTTTTGAAGAATTGTACAAGGTAACTGACTTTCCTAACTATATGTTTCCTTGCTCTGATATTTGCGTCAGGCCGTTGAAGATTTATGTATACACAAATTGGGCCCAAATCTTTATTCCCGTTTACAAAATGATTGTGAAGAGCACATCAAGTCCGAGATAGAATCGCTGGTATGCATTTGTGATGAAGCCTGGATGAAAGTGAGGGTCATTCGGTCTTCAGGTCGGTCAACCAGATGATGCTACTATCTTCCTGGAGACGGTCGAAGCTTGCTGGCAAAAACATTGCAATCAAATGTCCCTTATTAGATCAATATTTTTGTACCTGGTCGGTGTTGCTATCCGTCTGACCTTGACAATGTTCCTGATTTTAACGACAGGATAGAACTTATGTTATACAATCAAGCAATGTTTGCTCGCTTTGGGCAATGGGGTTACAGGTAGAATTTGAGGAAAAAGTGTCACAGAATTGTGACCTTATATGAATGCAGTCTTTTAGAAAGCATTTGAATTCAGCACCTGAAGTTCAGAACAAGATAGTCTCTGGCATGCTAAGTTTGATATTGCAGGAGAGATCTGGTGACATGGTATGATATTTGCAGTCAGTATCGGCAGTGGTCTAATTCATGTACAGGTGAATCGGTCACTACTCCGAAATCTGTTAAGAATGCTGGCTCAATTACAATTATATTCAAGCTTCGAAACTGCATTTCTTGCCGATACAGAGTCGTTTTATCGACAGGTGCGCATGGCCAGCCCGTACTTATGTAATACTGACGTATGTGTGACAGGAGGGAAGTGACAAGTTACAGGATCTTGATATCCCAAATTATTTGCTGTTTGTTGAACGTAGAATCGAGGAGGTGAAATTCAAATGCATTTCATCCAAGATGTTCACTTGCTCTTCAGGAACATGATAGGATTGGTCATTATCTTGATATTCAAACCAAAAAACCGCTAATCTCAAAACTGGACGCACAATTGTTAGAGGCAAGTCTTGATTTTAGATGGTTGTGAATCGCTTGCCTTCTGTTGACACATGACACAGGCACATGCACAGACCATTGTAGACAAAGGTTTTGAAATCTTAATGACACAACATCGGTGCATCTCTTGTGGAAAGGATGAAATGTTGGCACTGACATGCGTCCAATCAGAATCAAGGATCTTCAGCGCTTGTACAATTTACTTTTGCGTGTAAATGGACTTTCAAACATCCGAGTAAGAATCTTGATAGATGGGCTGAACACAACCTGACGTCCTTTCAGCAAGCCTTCTCAGCTTACATTAAGAAGACTGGAGTAGAAATTGTGATGAATGACGAAAGAGGCTTAGAGATGGTTCAAGACCTATTGGATTTCAAAGCTCGATTAGATGAACTGCTGGAACAAGCTTTCGCTTCCAACGATGAACTCAGTATGTCTTTTTTCTGCCGATGTAAGATCAACGGCTTGACATCTAATTTCGTTTCTAGGCCATGCCTTGAAAGATGCTTTTGAGACTTTGATAAATGCAAGACAGAACAAACCTGCAGAGCTGATAGCGAAGTTTGTAGATCAACAGGTTGATTCAAGTATACATTCTTGTGCAATTCTCAAACCTTTCAACAGTTGCGGTCTGGAGGCAAGGGAATCTCAGAACAGGAGTCCGAGCTCATTCTCGAGCGTGTTTTGATCCTATTTCGGTGATTTCTTTTTGCCGATTCTCTTCTTCGCTTGAAATTGATTGCGATCTGCAACAGATATCTGCAGGGGAAAGATGTCTTTGAGGCATTCTTCAAGAAAGATCTCGCAAAGAGATTGCTTTTGAACAAGAGCGCTTCAATAGATGCTGAGAAGGCAATCATTTCAAAATTAAAGCAAGAATGTGGATCATCATTCACAAACAAGCTAGAGGGGATGTTCAAGGTAAACTGGATTTTGATCTGCTGGTTCTCGCTGATAACACGACCAGGACATGGAGTTGTCAAAGGACATCATGACAGCCTATTCGAACTCGAGCGTAAGAAAGGATCTGAGCGACAAAGTGAGCTTTGACACTGGGCATTGTGAACTTCATCCCACTTGTTTCTCATTTCTTGTTTAGGTCACTAGCGAGTTGTCTGTTCATGTCTTGACAACCGGATATTGGCCCGCGTATCCTCCTGCTCCACTGAACTTGGTGCACGAGCGCTCCTCCTTGTTCGTTTGTTGTGTGTCTGACATCTAGAGCAGCCGAAGGAGATCCTCGATCACCAAGAAGCCTTTGAGAAATTCTATCTTTCAAAGCATCAAGGGCGAAGGCTCACGTGGCAGAACTCGCTGGCTCACTGCTCGTTGAAGGTCAAGCCTGGTTGCTAGCACGGCGATGTAGACCTGATGATATTGCAGGCAACGTTCCGGCCGAATGCTGCAGGCAGGAAAGAGCTGTTGGTCTCGTTGTATCAAGCCGCGGTCTTGCTGCTGTTCAACGGTTCGGACGAGTTGAGCTTCTCGGAGATAGCTGGGGTAGGCCTCCAGCAGCTTGCTGCTTGCTCCTCTTGTCTTAACGTCTCGATGTAGGCGGTGGGGATGGACGACAAGGAGCTTCGGGTGACCCTGCAGTCATTGGCATGCGCGAAAATCAAAATCCTCAACAAGGTGAGCAGCGGTCCTGCTAGTCGTTGTGTTGTTGAAGTTCCCTCTTGTCCCGTCCCATCCCCTTCATTGCTCTCCCTTCCTCATGCTTCCTCGCAGTCGCCCAAGGGTCGGGACGTGGAGGACGGGGACAGTTTCACTTTCAACTCCAAGTTCGAGAGCAAGCAGCTGAGAATCAAAGTGAACTCCATCCAGCTCAAGGAAACTCAGGAAGAGAACGACAAGACTACCGAGAGTGTCTTCCAGGACCGCCAGTACCAGGTGGACGCAGCTATAGTGAGGGTGATGAAGGCGAGAAAGTCGCTCTCGCACACACTGCTGATCTCAGAGCTGTTCAAGATCCTCAAGTTCCCAGTGACTCCTCCTGACCTCAAGAAGAGGATCGAGTCGCTGATAGAGAGAGAGTACCTAGAGAGGGACCGGGATAGCCCCTCTGTCTACAAGTATCTTGCATAAGATTGTATCGCTGTCAGCCGTTTACGCGCTCTCTGCCTTCAAGCCTGTCACTCGATGACCGTCACCTAAGCTCCGATGCCACGGCCTGGCGGCGCTCCACTCCGAGCGGCTATGTGACTCGGCTGTGTTAGTAGCCTCAGTGCCGGCGAGGCCCGATCGATGATCATCGGAGTTGGAGGCTCGGGCCCGCCGGGATCGCCGGGTGCCAGGTGACTGAAGGCTATAGGGTCAGTCAGCCTTGAATGATGATGCGCCTGTTGGTCATCTTCCTGCTTACTCTTACAACTTCCCCGATCAGATTTGGTATTCTGGCATCAAAATTGACTTTATATTTTCAAATTATCAGTGACTTTTTGAAAGATGAAGTGGAAGGTCCGATCCCTGCATAGAGGAAACGTCGAAGGAAAAGGGAGAGAGAGAGAGAGAGAGGAGGGAGGGAGGAGGGGAGGGGGAGGGAGAGGGAGGGAGGGAGGGAGGGAGGGAGGGAGGGGGAGTCAAAGGAGTAAAGATTAAGATTTTTTGAACACGTTGATGTTGTTTCTTGTTTCTACCGATTTCAATTCTTTTACCAATGTTTTAGAGTGATAACACAAGTTGTTGTATGCGTTTGTAGGCTCTTCAATTCGATGAAGCAGTCGCCCTGAATCTCCTGAACTTTTGTGACTGATAGGATGCGATCAAGATTGTTTTGGAGTTTTCTTTTCTTTCCTTGCTTCTTGATTGTGGACGGTCTTCTGAATTCCTACCCCCCTGCTCTGCCCCGCCCCTCAAAGTTTTCAAAGAGAAGTAACCCTGCCAGCAGAATCCTAGATACCAACATGCACACTCGTCCTCCTCAGTCTTGCGACTCCTTCGTCATCGTCGGAGCAGAAGGAGCAACTATCTTCAGCAAGAACAGCGACAGGCCATGCACGGAAGTGCACGAGGTCGTTCGCTTCAACTCTCAGGAGCATGCAGAGGGCAGCAAGGTTCGCTGCCAGTACATTGAGATCCCTCAGGCAAGAAAGACTTTTGCTGTCATTCTCAGCCGACCGGCATGGCTGTGGGGAGCTGAGATGGGAGCCAACGAGATGGGACTGTGCGCAGGGAACGAGGCGGTAACGACAAGAGAAGCTTCCTCCTGCGACGATGGCGGGAAGCGGCTGCTCGGGATGGACCTCGTTCGACTGGTGCTCGAGCGAGCGGCAGGAGCACGCGAGGCTGTTGAGGTTGCGGCGGCGCTGCTGGAGGCTCACGGGCAGGGAGGGCCGTGCGAGGAGGACGGAGACTGGTGCTACGAGAACTCCTTCATCTTCGCAGACGCAGAGGAGGCGTGGGTGATGGAGACGGGAGGGCGGAGCTGGTGGGCAGCGGAGAGGGTGGGCAAGGGGAGGAGGAGAAACATTTCCAATGGAGTGAGCATTCGCCGCCCTGACCTGACGCACTCGAAGCTGCTAGAGACTGCCAAGGCCGAGGGGTGGTGGGATGGAGCTGTAGAGTTCGACTGGAAGGTTGTCATGCTGGGAGGAGGGAGAGGAGGTCTGGTGGCTGATGACCTGGAGCCGGAAGGAAGGGAAGCAGCAGGGAAGGAGTGGCTGGAGAAGATGTGCAAGGAGGAGGAGGGACTTCGTGTGGACGTTCCTAGCATGGCCAAGTGTCTCCGAGACGTGAGGTCGGGAATATGCATGCAAGGAGGCTTCGAGTCGGTGGGGAGCCAAATTTCTGTCCTTCAACAGGGAGGAGGAGGAAAGAGTGGAGGAGCAGTACACTGGTTCACTGCCAGCCCAGACCCCACAACATCTGGATACAAACCTTTCTCGTTCAAGGACGGGAAGGAGGAGGGAGTAGACAACGATGCGGCACGCAAGCTCTGGCTGCTGCACAAGGAGCTCCCCTCATCTGCGAGGAAGCAGATCGGACGAGCTCTCAAGGCGAAGGAGGAGGAACTTCTTCCTCGGTAGGCGCAGGAGGAGCGTCCCCTGAGCTGTTCGACCGCTGCATGCAGGAGGAGGTGGAGATCATTAAGAAGTTTACGAGCTGAAGTCACCTCCTGAGAAGATGGTGAGATCGGAAGGAGGAGGACGAGGAAGAGAGAGGAAGAGGAGGGGGGGGGGGGGGGCGGGGGGGGGGGGGAGAGAAGGAGGACCTCTCTGGGCTTTTTAACGGCGAATAGCACTCTTGAGGCTCGAAGGCGAATGGCTGCGATGGAATAAGAAGGAGGAGGAGGAAAAGAGAAGCAGAGAAAAAGGGAGTGAACTCACTATCTTGACTCCATCTCCCACAATTCTGCTTGTTTTCACCTGCAAGGTTTACATTCACCGCAGCTCTCCCTCCCTCCTTCCCGCTCACTCTGTTCTGCGAGCATGACGTCGGCCCAGCAGTGGTCCTGTCAGTTCCAAGATCAGGATGATCTGCTGCTCCGCTCTCATCTCTCCTCTTCTCCTCTCATCGTACATGCAAAAGTCTACGCCGTCAGCCTGAGACTCCCGCAGCTTGCCCCGCAGCGAACCTGCTGAAGAGGTAAAGGAGAGAGTAGCAGGGAAAGCAGTAAGGGAAGGGAGGAGGAAGGGAGAGAAGGAGGAGGAAGGGAGGGAGGGGGAGAGAAGGGCAACAGAGAGAGAGGAGAGGAGAGAGCTGGAAAGTGGGGAAGAGAAGGTGACGAAGGAAGAATAGACAGTGGGGGGAAGGGGGGGGAAAGGGGGAGGGAGGGAGGTTTTCGACCGTTC